GTGCATGTCCTCCGAGTCTCCTCGAATATTGCTTTTATTCAACTTTTTATTCTCATTTGATAATTAAGACGATTTCCACAAGACAAAAAAAACAAAAAAAAAAAAAGTGTGCAATTACTGACATGTCTCTTGCTTGGACATACTGTTATTTCCTGAGCATACCAGCAATGAAAACCAGCCAACCTACAATGATCCTTGAAAACTAGTGATACAAAATTACCAAAAGAAATTGAATTCTGGAAACACGAACCCAACTAACAAAAAAATAATAATAATAACAATATTTTAAAATTTCTTATGTAATTAATATAATATGACAGAATTATTCAATATTATGTAATGTTGTTTATTCAAAAAAGAAATTGCAATCCCACATCAACATTTTCAATGTAAGCACCTGTTGATTCCTGAACAGCTGGGCGTCATTTTGCCTCTAATATTAAAAACAACACGCACTTAATTCTCTAAATTTTGAAACCACTGAAATTGCATTGTCGAGCATTATAATTTATACACAATGCCATTTTGTAAAGAAAAGAAAGAATGAATTATACAAACACAAGACCTGCAAAAAAAAAAAAAAAATCAGTCTATCTCCTCAAACCAATGTATTATTCCCTATGGTTTCCGTATCCATTCCGAAATGGAATATGCATGTTCTAGGAATTTGCTTATCTTGTGAAGAAGCCAATGCCATGGAGTTCACATTCCAGTACTCACCATTCCTTCTCTTATCCTGATCTCCATACTCCCAGTTTTCTTCTTCTCTTCTCTGTTCAGTTCCCCCACCATCCATGCTCGAAATCGAAACTTTTCTCCAATTGCACCAGATTCTTACCATCATATAAAGCATCGCCAAGCATATTGATGTAGAAGTAAAGACAATGGCCACTATAATAACAACAACAGCAGTGTTTGAAAGCCCCTTTTTCTCTGGACCCCCTGATGACAGGCATGATACTAATGGTGGGCCGCATAACTTGTCATTCCCCAAGAAAGAGCTAAGAGGGAATCCTGAAAAGGTGGAAGGAAGATGGCCCTGGAGATCATTATTTGACAGGTTCAGCATGTGAAGGCTGGTCAGCTTGGTGAGTGAAAACGGTACTTCTCCTTGGAGGTGATTAAGAGATAGGTTCAATCTCTCTAACTTCATCAGATTTCCAAGAGAGGATGGAATCTCACCATAGAGAGAATTTTTACTGAGATCCAAGATCACTTGTAACTCAGTCAGCTTTCCTAGCTCAGCTGGTATAGAACCCGTCAAGAAATTTTCTGAGAGCCTCAGTTCAAAGAGTTTCTTGCACTCCTGAATTGCTGGAGGGATCAAGCCTGAAAGGTTGTTACTCTGAAGATTAAGGACGTTGAGAGAAGTAAGGTTTCCTATCTCCTGTGGTATGTTGCCTGAGAGCTTGTTACCATGAAGAGAAAGCTTGAGTAATCCTGAACAGTTACCAAGCTCAGCAGGTATATTTCCATGGAAGTTATTCAATGAAAAATCTAGCTCTCCAAGTTCTTCTAAGCTCCCTAACCAAGAAGGCATGGTGCCAGCAAGCTGATTATTGTTAAGTAGGAAGTGTTCGATTTTTTTACAGTTTGAAAGTAGAGGTGGTACTTCTCCTGTGAGATTGTTGAATGATAGATCAAGGAACTTAAGCTCGGTGAGTGAGCCAAATTCAAAAGGAATTTCTCCAGAAAGATGATTGTGTGCAAGACGGAGACGGCTTAGATTTCTTGATAGCGTTAGTGTAGAAGAAATGGGACCAGAGAAGCTATTGTTGGTTAGGTCTAATGCTGTAAGAGAATTTGAACCCAAGAGAGGAGAAATACTGCCCCTAAACCTGTTGTGAGAAAAATTGATGATTTTGAGGTTTTTGAGAAGAAAGAGGGATGCAGGAAGAGGACCTTCAAAGGAGTTGTTGTAAAGAGTGATCTTGTTCAGTTCTGAAAGGAATCTGAATGTTGCTGGCAAGGTTCCTGAGATCTTGTTATCTGCCAAGGCCAAGATCTGGAGGCTTTTGCAGTAGCCCAAGCTTGGTGGGATCTGACCTGACAAGTCATTCTGCCTCAGTTGAAGCACATTCAGATTCTTAAGTCTCCCAATAGTGGCAGGAATTGATCCTGTAAAGTGGTTTCCAAAGAAATCAATTTTTGTTAAGCTTTTGCAGTTCATTAACTCTCTTGGTATTCCTCCTGACATCTGATTGTCATAGAGATAGATGGTACTCAACCTCTGCAACTTGCCAATTTCTGGTGGGAGTCTCCCTGTGATCATGTTGTCAAAAAGAATTAAATCTTCCAAGCTACTAATGTTTCCAATTTCAGGAGGTAAATTTCCACTGAAGCTGTTATTATTGAGCTGAAGGTCTGTGAGGTACTCTAGTTTCTCCAGCCTAGACGGCAACTCTCCATCAAAATTGTTATCAGAGAGGTCTAATTGTTGGAGAGAGTAGCAGTTCAGAAGCTCCAACGGGAACTTGCCAGAGAGATTATTTCGAGCCAAAAAAAGTTGTTGCAGTTTCGATGAATTGCTAAGACAGAAGTTGCTTGGAATGCCACCTGTCAAACCATTATCAGACAGAACTAAAGTTTCAAGGTTCTTCAATTGGCTATTGAAGAGGCTAATGGTTCCTGAGAGATCATTTACTGATAAATCAAGTATCTCAAGCTGAACCAACTGGTTAAGCTGTGGAGGAATCTGGCCACTCAATCTATTTCCAAGTAAATTCAGGTACTTCAAGTTGGAGAGCTGGCCTAACTCAACCGGAATTGCACCTGAAAGGCTGTTGTTGGCCAAGTTCAATACTTGCAGCGATCTAAGCATCCCCGTTGAAGCAGGGATATCTCCCTCAAGCTTGTTGTTAGAAGCTGCAAAATTTTGAAGCTCTTCGCAGCCATGAATCTCATCTGGTATGAGGCCATCGAGACTGTTCTTCTGCAAATCAAGAGATACCAGATGCTTCAAATTACCAATCCCAGCAGGCATGCTTCCATTAAATTGGCAGTAGGCTAGACCCAATACTCTCAAATGAGTCAAATTGCCTATACTTGGTGTAATTTCACCTGATAACAAGTTATCTCCTATTCTAAGAACTTGCAATTTCTTCAAAAGGCCGATCTCTTCAGGAATTTTACCAGAGAGATGATTTGCATAAAGAAGCAGCATCTGCAAATTTTGAAGTTTTCCAAGCTCAGAAGGAATTGAGCCAGTAAGAGAATTCGAAGACAGGTCAAGTGTTTCAAGTAAAGTAAGATGCCAGAGCTCATGTGAAATGGAACCGGATAGTCCTGAGCCTGATAGGTTCAAGGCCAGAACATGAGTTTGATCAGGGGAACATGTAAGTCTATTCCAGCTGCACATATGAGCTCTTGGAGACCAATTATCAAGAACTCCAACAGGATCAACTAGTTCTGATTTAATTCTCCGAAGCCAGTAGGAATCTGTTGAATCATCTTCACCAAGACTAACAGCAAGAACAGCATGAAGTATTGCCAAAAACAGTACCAAATGACACGTTTGAGTGCTGCCCATTTCAAGTTGTATGACAAAGATGAATCTCAAATGACAGCTTCAGTTACTTGTTTTAAAAGATTCATTGTAGGCAATTGGGGATCCTGATTCCATGATGAAAGAAAAGGCAAAAAAAAACAAGCAAGTGAAGCTCAAGTTCAATAGACTGAGGGAGAGAAAAGACAAGATGGAATAAGGAATTAAGGAGGGAATGTGAATGAGAGATGCTCGAAGTTGTATACTACTAGAATGATGGTAGCTTTGAAGTTTATATAGTTCAGTTGAAGTAGGGCTGCGTATCATTTTTATGTTGAAAGTTGACAATAATGAATCAACAGTAATCTAGCTTTAACCTTCACACATAACCTACTCTTCTTACCTTTTTCAAGGTTTGCTAAAAGGTGGGGTATTTTTTTCTCGCTTTCCTCCCAAGGAAATTATTATGGTACATTTTAGCATGCTTAAATTTAATAGTCTGTGAGATGGTGAGTTGCATGTAGATAAGGTAAAGTGATGGGTATTGCTGAATGGAGAACAAAACGTTAGGGGAGATACCCACTTGCTCCTAGGAAAAAATACTTAAGGGGGTCTATCTAGTCATAGAATGGTGTTAGATTGGATCTTTGCTATAGGAAATATCAATTGACTCTCATATCTTAATAAGTTCTGCAAGAAAGAATCCATCAGAAATACTCCAAAAGATTAAGTATGATTGACTTTCTAATCCAAATGGTCCATTAAACTTTCAGCAATTGTGGGCTTAGATTGGCATAAACGCATTATTGAAACAATAGGATGTTCTATGAGCATAAAGGTCATTAAAGATTAAGCAAACCAGTATGGTCCAGCTTGGTTACCAATTCCTTGATGTAGTAGCACAATGGACCAGATATATCATCAGGACAGGAGGAAAATTTGAGAGCGACCAAAGAGAAAAATCAGTGACAAAATCTTGGTTTCCTCTGATTGAATGGCTAGAATCGGTTGCTTCAGTGAGTTTATGAGGTTTTCCTAAATGCATCTGTAGAGTGTTATCTTTGCCTCATCTTTTTCCTTTGTTGTGTGCGCATGCGTGAGCCTTGGTGAATAGATAGGTGCAATGAATTTTAAAACCTCTAGGAAATTTTCTTTGCTAACTACTATTATCTGTAGAATTTTTATGTGTTGATAGTCCATGGATTGAATCTCCTTCCTCAACCCAAACCACCTAATACCAAATTAAAAACAAGAAGAAAACAGAAGAGCAAAACAACCCCCAACGAATTTTACAGTAGAAACCAGCTTACTAATGATATTTAATTCCAGAATAGAGCCAAGACCACATGGAAGTTTTTTCAAGACCTGCTTCTTCGGCCCAATTAGGGCTTGATTAACTCTAAAGAAAGAGAGTTTTGCCTCAGCATATTGAAATATGAAAGGATTCTTCCAATAAGAAGCCAAACATAAAAGGACAAGCAAGTTCACTTCATAGTTGATTGGAAATTGTGTTGCATCAACGGCAAACTCTATATCTACCTTTCCTTAGCTTCTCAGGATCTAAGCAGAGACAACCAATACGAACAGGCTCTGTCCCATCAATAACTTCACACAAGGAAACAAAGTACATACCAGCATGGACCATTTGCTACCCAAGTGCTTCCATATTTACTTTTGCTTTTGCTAAGGAAGAATATTGCCCTAGTGACTATGTTTACCTTTTGCCTCCTCACTCCCCACCCTCTCCACACGCAATTCCTGGAAAAACAAAGTCAAGAACACTGTCATCCTTCCAATTCTGCACGCTGAAGATATGATTGTGCCTTGTGCAATTAAATCTGAATCTTGACACTCTCTTACCAGCTGCTTTTTTTTTTTTTTTTTTTAATGTTTAACAACAAAAGTCATTAGGCAAAAAAGGCACTTTCTACGGTGAAAAGGGCATGTCACTATTTAATTTCAGACAATCAACAAGGTCACTAAACAAACAGATCTTATTTTAGAGAATTCTTTTTACCTAATCAGAGTTTATTTAGACTGGTCTGGAGGAATATTATCAATCAACAATTTAAAAGGAGTGCGTTTAAATAATCACACCATAGATGGACAAAGGGAGGATAGAACCAAAGGAGAAGGTACATTATTGAATATGCAAATGAGGACCATAATGAAAGTCAAGGAACAGTTGGAATTTCATATTATGAGCAAAAGAAGCTCCCAAAACAATTCTCAATGCTGAAATATGAATACAGATATTAAAGTCCAAATGAAAAACTCAATGGTAAAGAATGAGAAAACAAATTCAAATGACACAAGGATGCAGAGGAAATAGCTTAGTTTTGGGTAGTGATGGAGGATGTCTTTGCCTGTTATACAACAGGAAAAAAGATTAAAAAAAGGGCCCTAATGGAAGAGGAAATAAAAAGCTATATAACTCTCCTAGCATAGAAATAGGCAAAACCTCTAGTCGTGTACTTGAAGGTAAGAGTATTGGTCCTGATTACCAATCATCTAATTGTTCCATACAAGTTGGCGTTAACTAAATTTGTTATGCAGGAACCAGAAGGCTTCATTATGCTAATCCCCATGTAAATGACAGACCTTTATACTGATTGACAGATAAGATGGCTTTTAAGTTGGTATTATCTGCTCCATTCTTCTAAGACTTTGTTTTGGGAGCTAACTCTTCTTCGAAGTCCCTGCAAACTGGTGATCTCTAAAAGCATGTAAAAGTACTCAGCAAGAGATCTGTTATCTTGCCCATTATGTTCCACTTGCTTCGTCATTTTAAAACCAAGATGCAAGTGATTGATAAATGGTTCCAACTTGTTAAACACAAGGGTAACAACATAATTGCTATATCGATTCAGTCAAAGAAACAATAGGGTAAACCAAATTTAGTAACAATTAGAGTTTCGAGAGTACATAAAACACTGGGACGGGAGCATCCAACGGAGTAACATTTAGAATTTAAAACATGTCAACAATGCTCTTATGAAAAGCAGACAAAGGTGTGACAACAATATATAAAGACACCTTAAAGCTTTGGTTTTAATTTTTAATAAACAAATGAGTACATGGAAATGATTTGTATGCTTCAAAATTTCAACAATTTGTTTCGGTAAAAAGATGATAAGTACAGATGCATCCATATGTATAAATCAGCCAAAATAACTTTCGAAACACATTCTACAATATGAAAAATCTAGAAGGAAACGGATCAGTCTACAGGTAAATGTGGATGACAGAAACCAAGTTCTGTCTAGCATCCTGATCATAAGATCCAAAAATGCGAAAGAACACTAAATTGCAGAAATCAAAGCATTGCAACTTTTAGCAACACTGCTCTCCAGTATGTCTTCATTCAAATCCCCCTAGTGCCACTACTTTCCACCATGATATCAGCAAATAAATTCTCTGATACCCATTAAGCTCCAAATTCTCACCATAGCAGAAGTATAGCTCAAAGAAGTCAGAAAAACCTACATGTATTAGATTACCTGAATAAAGCACAGACATTCTATTCAGTAAAGCGATGACAGCCATACCAACTCTTCAAAGTTCAAGCATCACCCTGCACTCCTGGCAGTTGGTGGGAAAAATTTCATGAGGAAGCTTGACAGTGACCAAATGCAGATGACCCCAAGGAATTGAAGGACATTCAAAAGTGTGCCTAAAGAGCTGCTTATCTCCAAATTGTGAGAGGTCATTTCAGCTCCTCTCACCGTAAATGACAGGGCTGTCACTAGTTGTGCGGCTCTATTCAATTGATGCAGTCTATAAACCTGTTAATCATAAAGAATATATTACATTTACAGTTTACCAGCTATTAATAATAAATAACCCAAATAGACTCTCCTATCAAATAAACCAAATATAATAAGTTGAACTGTGTATATCATGGGACTTCTAATCTATATATCAACTATAAAACCAAGTTTATCTGAGAATAAAACTAAGCAAATGTTTATTTCTTCTTTTTTCCTCTCCAAAACCTAACCACACCGATAACTGTAAGAAAATTGGTCAAACATAGGTCAAATCTGCCCTTACTTGAAAGATGATTGGAATGACAGGCCATGAAGGTGACTTCCAATATCTTGCGTACTGCTCAAATGCAAATTGTACTACAATACCAACCAGGTATGGAGCAAGAGTAGCAGAAGCCGCAGGGCCAGTCCATGGCCAGACCAAGCCCATTGTAACCATGGGAACTATAAGATTAAGAACCAAGGCAGCTACAGAAGAGATTCGCTGTCCCAACTGGGGAGTCAGGGTTCTGATATCATTTACAACTGATGCTGGTTCCACAGGCCTCCTTAAATGGTCTATTAGCAGAAGAAAAACCGCAACACCACAGTAGAAAAGAGCTTCCGTGAAGAACAATATGAGGAAATCTGCAGATTGATAGCAAAGGAGTGTTCAAAGAAGAAGCATATGCAAATTGCAATTAAAACACACACAGAGCAAAATTTTAAAAGAAAATGGTAATGAAACATAGAGATTTGATGTACAAGCTAATCATCATTCTAACATATTCACAGCCCAAAAATGCCAAAACACTGCGCTATTTATTCCTCCCTTTGCTATCCATTATGTTTAGAGCCACAACATTTTTCTGTTTTTTTTTTTTTTTAATTTGTTTTTTTTTGTTTTTCAGGGTTGCTGACTTACATCAGTTCTTAAACCTTGCATCAACGTTCTTCATCCAGCAGACTTACTGTCCCTCCATTTTTTCAGATATTCATCTGTCAATCATCACAGTAGTATTCACTATGTCTTCAGCCTCCATCTCGGCTAAATAAACCCTTAAATATCATTTCCTATTTCTGAAACAGTAATTGCTATTTAAGTTACACCACAGACATCACATCCTGGTCGCACACAACTTGAATGATCTTTGATAGAATCCTCTAACACTATCCTTTATTGATATCCATTGTATCACATTTTCCAAGTTAGCACCAAGTGATCAACAATCACTTCTCCTTTACAGCTGTCTAAAACAAATGTCAACTGAAATCTCTAAGATGGTCCTTGGCTCTTTGCTAAGCAAGAACAATTGTAGGACAACATAAACAGGGTGATACTACCAAGATTCATAAAAAAGTATTCTGGTCTAATTAAATACAATAACCAAAATAATTAAACCAACCCATTCTTCCAAACAATCTTAGTGGAATTTTACATTCTTCTATGCAGTTTTCTGTATCTTTCACTCTTTACTTACTCATTTAATGCTTGAATAATAACAATTGGCATTAATTGAAATCAACTTAAATTGAAAAGGAAAATCACAACAAAATAAGGAAGTATGATCACCTGTCAGCAAAGAGTCCTCAAATACTGCAGAGAGTATTCTGCGTAAATAAAGTGATGGGAAAATGAAAGAGGCTACAAGTACAGCAGGACCGATAAACCATAATAGGCTGTTTGGATTCCTTTGCACATTATATATAACAACTTCATCCTCCTTTTTATATGGACGATTATAAAATGAAATTAAACCTGGTTTCCCATCAGTTCCTGGGAAATGATTAATTGAAGAGCTTGTAGAAGGGAGAGCTTCGGTGGTAGGATGATCATCATCTTGTTCTGATGTGTCTGGTTTGAGCTCACTGTAGTGTGACTGATCTTGAGAAGTTCCAAAGAGAACATGTTGCCTTCTGGGAAAATTTCCCTTTAATTTTGAGAGACCATCTATGACGTGGCATGAGTGGACTGCACAAAATACAGAAGAAGACTATTGGAAGGTGATTTCAATGCAGTAGTAAGGACTAAGAATTTTAGAATTTAGCACAGAAATTATAAAAATCAAATTTTGAATCTTCGGTATATAGGTAAATAAATCCTCATATTTTAGTCACCTTGTCCTGTAATCTTCGCCTATTGATACATTTTTCATAAATCATAATGTCAATGAAGTGCATTAGATGCACTTCACATGTGCTTATTTATCCTTAAATATGAATTTAACCTTATTAGTTTGTTGAACATTTTGTCCTTAAAGATAAAGGACAATAAAGAAATTTCACACTTGTCTTGATGACTATGGACATATACTTTAGGACCATAAAAAGAGTATATGAAGACCAATATTCCAGAAAAGCAGGTGTGACAAGAAAACCAAACTTGTCACACATTGTCTGCTGTATAGAGACTCTAGTATTACTACAGTTAGTAGCATCATAAACATTTCAGATTTATGGGCGTCAAATTACACATTGAGACAAAATTTAGAAATTTGACTATCATTTAAGTAGTCTGGGAACTTACCATCTGCATTTCTAAGCTTATAATGCAGTCCATTATATGGTCTTTCTGACAAGCTCAGCTGAACAATGAAACATGAGTGATAAATGTCAGAAAACTACCATGGATCTTGTCATCTAGAGATCGATTGTTAAGAATCCTTGGATAAGTTTAGCATAGAGTAGCAACGAGTCAAACGGTGCATCAGCCTCATTAAGAAATATCAATTTACTGCTTTAAATAGAAACTCTGCAAGAACAATATCATAAATTTGAAATTACACAACAATTTGTGACTCTAAGCAAGTTAAGCTACCAAATTAGCAACAACCTAAACAAGAAAAGTAGTAACTTGCTAACAAATTCACATGGTATGGAATTAGAAAACAAAAGTTTACGAGGGACCAAAAAAAAGCATGTAAGCATTAGTTAAGGCAGCCGAGTTGGTGTCTACCTTGTTGCTCTCTTCTCAAATGGTGAAAAAAATTACAAATAAAATCTTGAAAAACATGACTGACTATGAACTGGTAAGGAAATATTAGTCGTTGTCAATTTCAAAAGAACATGCATAGAAGAGAAGCCAAGAATGCTGTCTGAGAAGAAAAGTGAAAGCCAGGAGGGAATAAAAGGGAACTGCCATGGTTGGAGCATGTAATGGTGGCCTCGTTTTAAATTTATAAATTTGAGGAAGATCTTACAGGAATAAAGGGGAAACCCCATGAATATGAAACCATCTATTGGTTAGTCAATCAGCCAACCCTACTTCTATCATCATACACATGTGCCAAAAGAAAATTTTGCATAATCCTCTCTTGCCTTTTTCATCTTGCAAGTTTCAACATATAAACTTGTTATCGCATCACATTGTGAAATGTCTATGAAAGTCCCTTTATTTTATTTTTTCAATGTCAACATCAACATAAGGTAACATTCCTAGTACAACATTCTGACTACAAAGAATGCACAAGCACATTCACATATCCATAGATGTGCATCGCTCTAATTGGCCATAGGCTAGTGTGCACGGTGCACCTTCATCTTTCCATAGAAACAACAATCTTAACAGAATTACTTAAGATTTATCTATGAGACTCTTGAAAACAGTTAAACATCACTTTCTAGTTCCATGTTTTAGAGAAGAAGATTTATCTATTCAACCCTTCTCTCGAGCTCCATTATTGTAAACAAAGGTCGATTTCTTCATCATTATTGGTGAAACTAACCATGCTACAACTTTAACTCCTAAAAAACCAGTTTCTTTATTCAGATTATACATATGAAATCTAATCCAAATATCATCGAAATAAATCACCTAAAAGCAGCTTGCTTTTGTAAGAAACATTAAACAAAATGCACTCACTGTCAACAATTGCAAATATCCCAAGCATCTCATTTGAAGCATAGCTATCCAATAACTATACTCAAGAAAACATAATCAATTTAGACCAAATCACTCCTTTCTATCGTGTCACTAGGAATTAAATTAAGCCTCTTAGCCAATTAAAAAGGGGGAAAAAACTCCTACGACATACAAAGCAATAACAAGAAACAGCAATACTATTAAGAGAGACTAAAACGGAACAAAACATGCCTGGGAGGTTCTTCTTAGTTTAAAAGGAGAAGAGAGTGAAGTAGCCAGACAAGAAAATGAAGAACCAACTTTGACAGCCATTTGAAAATGTATGTATGAAATCTGTCTAAAGGGAACGTAACCAACAAAACCCAGATTAGTAGAGACTTAAGTAATGCATGTTGATTGATTTTAAAGCAAACCCATTTGAATTGGATGGACTTTAAGGATACCCATATGACAAATTTATAAAGAAAACGAGCGGATTGTAGGTAATTTGAGGAAGTCGGAGATTTTAAGGTAAGGGGTTTTTTTTTTTTTTTTCCTGAGCTTTTAAGGAAGAAAGATGGTGAAAGAGTGAAAAACAGAGAGGGAGGCAGAAAGCGGCTCTTTCTTCTGTCTGCTATATTTAATTTTAAAGAGGGTGGACCTTCGGTCAAATAGTATTTCTGACTTGTCTAGATTTTCAATTCAAGTAACCTTTTCCTTTGCCCTTTCTTTTTTCTATAATAAGATAATTGGGCAGTTTTAAATATTTTTTCAACATTAAAATAATTGCTTTCAGAGAATTTAGAGAATAACTAGTTAGATGCACGTGCTCTATTACAGTCAAATAATCGTTACATACGTAGGATTAACGATTCGTATGGTGTAATATGGATGTAGGTTTTATTTCTAATTATTATTGTAAATCGAATCTATATATTGCGTAAAATCGTTTGATTTATATATATTTATTAACAAAATATGTAATAATATTAACATAAAAATTTATATTTGAATAATTAGAAGGTTCTTTCAAAATATTATAAATAATTGGTATTATGTGTGCGGATATATAGTTAATTTCTAATAAAACTATATATATATATATATATATATATATATATATATATATATATATATATATATATATATACATACTTGAGATAATAGAAAAATATACAAAAAAAAAAACCCTCACCTAAATTGTATGAAATATAATGAAGTCAATAAATTAAAATAAAAACTACAAAAAGATTGGTTCGATAAATTCTAAATATATATATATATATATAAAGCAAATAAAACTTGTAATTTTTTAATTGATTAATATTTTAAAAAAACAATCGACTCAAACTATCTAAAACATAATTTTAGCGCTCTCTCTCTCTCTCTCTCTCTCTCTCTCTCTCTCTCTCTCTCTCTCTCATATATATATATATATATATATATATATATATATATATATATATATATATATATAGAATTTATAAATTATAATATATTTTAAAAAATAAAACAACGACGTTTCAAAATTTTATTCCAAAATTCATATATTAAAAAACCAAATTTATTAAAAAATAAAATTATATCAAAAAATTAATTTGATAAGAATTTTAATAAGAAACAAATAATTGAAGAAATAAATTTTAAACAATAAGAGTAATATAATCAGATATATATGTTCAAAGTAAAATTTAAAAAAATATCATATATATTCTATCATCTTCAAATTATATGTAAAACTAAAAATAAAATAAAATAAAATTTTATGAAAAAATAAATAACAAATAATTTGTATTATGTATACGGATATGTAGTTAATTTCTAATAAAACTAATGATAAATATTTCATACTTAATAAATTCAAAGTATATAGAATAAATAAAAAAATATACAAAAAAAAAAAAAACCTAAATTGTATAAAATTTAATGAAGTCAATAGATTAAAATAAAAACTACAAAGAAAATTAGTTCTAATAAATTATGATTAAATATATATATAAGAGTATATTATGAAGAAAAAAAACATACTTTCAACTCGCTAAATTATATGAAATATACATACATACAATTATACATATGAATTTTTTAGAAAAAAATATTAATAAATTATATATATATATATATATAAGCAAATAAAACTTATGAATTTTTTTAATCGATTATTAATTTTAAAACAAATTGAGTCAAACATCTAAAACATACTCTCTCTCTCTCTCTCTCTCTCTATATATATATATATATATATATATATTAATTTTTTAATATAATTTTTTGATATAATTTGATTTTTTAATATATAAATTTTGGAATAAAATTTTAGAACGTCGGTGATTTATTTTTTAAAAATATATTATTATAATTTATACAATAAATTATTTTTATGCTTTTTAAATGAATGTTTAATTTTTTAAAATATATTATTAAAATTTATAAATTCTGATTATATATATATATATATAAAAACTAAAATTTTAAAAAATATCATATATGTTCTTCAAACTCGTAAGTAAAACTAAAAAAATAACAATTTATTTTTTATATTTTTTACACCTACTTTTATGATAATATATATAAAGAAAAAAAGAGGCCGGGCTCGCATCGGGCAACCGAGCACGAGCTCGGCCTCTTTTTTTTTTTTTTCCTTCATACAACAAAATTTCTACATGCAACGCGAGCAAAATTCCTATAAAGAAAAAAGAGGGTTATCTAGTAAAAAAAAAAAATTGATACAAGAAATGAACAATAACAATCTCATATCTTTTATTTTTTTAATAATTTTGGTTTTAGAATAAAAAAAAATAATAATAAATTAATAGTTAATGGCATTAAGCTATTATGTTTGCAAACGTTCTAGAAAAAAAAAAAAAAGTTCAATAATTGAAAGTAAAAATTATTGTGTTTGAAAACACGTTTTGGAAAACTGAAAAATCTCTTCTTTAGAAAACAGGGATCCTATTTGATTCTCAAAAAGAAAAAATATGATCCCTTTTTACTCATCTCTTATTCAAGATCTTAAAAATAACTGAATTGAGGCTTTGTTTCTATTTTGAAAAATGTAGAATAGAGACGAAAACTGAAAAAAAAAAAACAACAACAACAACAACCCTAAAAGTTCATGTTCCATAGTTTTGTTTTTTAGCATACTTGCATTGCTTGAGATGATTTTCGAAAATGAGAAAGGATGACTTCCTCTTCGTTTTCCCTCTTGGTTTAAACAAGGCTGATTTTAAAACAAAATAGTTGCGTATTGACTGAGGAAGTAATAAAAAGTACTCTTAAATGAGAAAATGTTCCAAGTGGATGAAGCTGAATATTCCACAACTGGGCTAATCAGCATCCACTGCAAAATGTCAGCCATAATAGCATAAGAGTGAAGTTCTTCTTTGCTGTTCCGTTCATTTCAGATGAGGAACAGGATAAAATACCCTCTGCAACCTTTTGATGGCATTAGTGCTAAAGCCTTGAGGTTGAATGGTAATAAATTGATTCGAATAAAAAAGGTACGGTTATAATGACACTTTTCCTTGCAAAGGATTCTATTTTTGTTTAGCAGCAAATTCAGCATAAACAAACTAGACGACCATGGAAAAAGAAAAGGGAATGAAGGTAGAGTCTATAACTCCAGGTAGGCAAGACAACCGCGGAAAATTATCCCAGAATATCATTTTTTTCTTTTTCTTTTTTCGGTTTCAAGGGTATTTTGAAAACATACAAATTCTCATTAATAACTCAATAATAGAGATGAAACACTTTCATAATACAAAAAGAAACAAGATGGGAATCCCCTGCAAGAATGCCCTATAAAAATACAGAGATCGGAAAAATCTGCTTCTGTTGTGATCCTTGACTTGCCTGGTAATACGAGAAGCCCAGTCTAAAATGGGATTGGCCAGCACTTTTTCAAAAATCTCAACCTCTTGAAACATTTTCCAAAGAAACTCTAACTAAACATTTTGCCCTTGCCTAAAACTTTATCATCACCACATTCAAATCAGATTAGCCTTCTTTAAAAACCTGATTGCCCTACAATAGTACGGCCATATAGATTCCACATAATCTAGGTACTTCTCCATCAACCACTCTTGCAATTCCTTCATCTTTTTCTTGAAAACTCTTTGCGGTCCAAGTTCTTAAAGTTCTGCACAGGTTGCAACACACGAGCTTGTATGTCTTCTTTGAGCTTCCCCTGTCTGATATAGCCAGAGGCTATGAGATAGTAGGTTGGTACATTCTTAATAACTTTAACTGTCTGCCTAAAGCTGAAGACATAGAGAGCCCACAAGCCCTGGAGTAACTTGATGTAGAAAGCAACAATCAAGGGACCCAAAATCCACAAAGGCATCAATTCCTTTGACACGCCAGCTCCATGTATCACATTGATGGCCAGGAACAAAGGGATGCTGAAAATGCAGCAACTCAGTTAGAAGCAGCCAAAAAAATCTTAAGAAGATGAAAAATATTACAGACTAAAAACCCAGAGCTGTTTGCAAAATGTATTCATTTAGAAATCAATTATTGGAAGAATTCTTGTATCATTAATACATTATCATATAGCAGTATAGCGGAAGGTGCTCAGTTGATAAAGAAATTGAATACTGGTTCTGCTAGTCCAATGACCCAACAAAAAGCCTCGCTGCTTCACAGTACTTGAGTCATTTAAATTAATTTCTCAATAATCATGTGGAAGAAACAACAATACTTACAATGTCAGTATGGGTATCTTTATTGTTGCATCCAGACTCAGGAAGTGACACCAAACTGACTTCATAATCTCAACTCTCTCCTTATTTTGGGTGGTATTTTGAGCTTGTTGCAATTCTTCTCTTGGAGGAGGTCCTTCTTCCAGAATCTCATCTGCAACTTGACTTGGTGATTGTGTGCCTAACATGCTGAGCCATTTCTTGAATAATTTATTAATAGCAGGAGATCCTACGATTCGGTCATTTGCTTCAGAAGTATAGGAAACTGGAATACAATGCACCTTTGAAGAGTCTATTATGGTCTCCCCACTTTCTTTTGGCTCATAAGAAAGTTTAACAGATTTTTTGGAGACTTTGGATCCATTTGCTCTGCCTCCTGATTCGTCATTTTGCGCACTGCCTTTAAAAGCTGAAACTCTCAAAAGCTTCACTTTGGATCCATGTGCAAAAGCCCCTACACTGTGGAAACAATGCAGTTCAATCTATATGCTTGACATTCACTAGATTACAAAAAAATAAAAAAAGAAGCTGATTACAAAGGACAAGCTTGTACCAATAACATAGTCTACCGATAGAGAAGCATAAGAAAAACAAAATTCCAAATTATCATTAAACAAAAAATCTTCTTGTATAGCACATCATTAATTAAGTAGCCAGATTTATCTCTCAACAGCCAGAGCCTGGAGGTTTTGTATCATACCTCTCAGAACAAAGTAAAACAAATCAAACCGACTGCAAAATCTAATTTTAAGCAATTTGGAAAGACAAACAGCTGATCATGAATTCAATTATATAGGCAAATCTTACCGCAAGCGAAGATTGCGTTTTACTGAGAAACACAAATCTGTTCTCCCTAAAATCTGAAGTGTTGTTACACGTTGCTTCGAATTCACCCCTTTGCTCCAAGATAAAGGCGTTGAAGGAAATGTTGCACAAGAACCCTAAATGCAGCAGACAAAGCAACATGACGTAACACTTACAGTATATTGGAGTGCAAAAAGTTGGAGATTGCAAAATGGTGTGAAAGTATGATGTTACTGACTTGAACTTGCATAGCATTGGTGAGTATATATTATATGCCTAGTTTTTTTCAAATGTACCCATATACTTTAAACAAGGCAAGTGCAACTGCTGTCGTACAAGCTCGAGCTACTATCAATTTTACTACATTTGGCATCTCAGAAACATGTAAGGAAACCAAATTACAAAGTAGAAAGTGTACCACACAAATGACAGATTCAACTTCCATAAACCCAAGAGAGACATGTATCAACACTCTAAACCACAAAATTTAAGAGAAAAATAACAGACAACTGGATCAGCACCCTTAGACCTTTAATTTACCCAAAAAGTTCATGCGAGGAGAATTGATTGAAATGACATGCATAAGGAAGGATAATTTGATTCCTATGGATTAAGGCTTCGTTGAATTGAGAATAACTGGGGGTAGAAAACAGTAACACTCTTAGGGCATAAGCCCTAAGTAGGATTAAATTTTATAAGTACCTGCATCTGATGGGTCACCAATGCCATTTTCTCCACTTCAAGCACCCACTCATTTACTCAACAGCGCCTTATTCAATACAAAGCTAAAGAATAACCAGACAGATATCAGCAAAAGCTAAAAAAAGAGATCATTTTATTAATGGAATCATTAACATGAGGCAACAAAAACACTCATGCTCCATTCAATTGCAAGAAACCAAAGGGGGCAAAAAAATACAAAAGTCCCAAAAGGGTTTTTTTTTCCTTTTTGCACTGAGCCTCCAACAGTTCTATCATCATTAGTTTCGATAAACAGAAAGACCAAGTTGAATTACGCCTTCAAATTAGCTGACTTAACTGCACTTTATTGTTTTCTCCAAAAACCCAACATTCCAAAAACTTCAAATTCCTCTCCTTTTCATACTTCCCTTCAATTTTCTGACAACCAAACAGATAGAAAAGCTAAACGTAGCCACGACATCTCTAACATTCACATAAAAACTAGGCAAACGCAAAAAGCTTCAAAATTTTCCCTCAAATTTCCTTGACAACCAAACAGACACTAAATTACAAAGAACCCAGAAAGCAAAAAGGCTAATTACAGCAAACCCAAATGATATTGAAGCTTATATTCAATAATTGAAGCTAATAAGTGAAGAAAAGATTGAATTTTGATAGAAAGACACTAACCTGTCCAGTTGAAATCATGAGAATGGGTGCACAGAAAGACAATCTTTTTGTGATTACTTGATTGAAAATGAGAAACCTTTTGTTATCTGAATTGAATTCCTGTTTAAAAGGACTACGAATAGATAGAGAGATAGAAAGGTCTCTCTAGTTGGTGAATTTCATTTATTTAGGGTTTTTAAAAGGGAGCTTCTTTTTTATTATTATTAACAGCGGTGGTTGATAATCAATTCCGCACCATAAAAATGTGGTTTTTGGCTACGGTTCTTGATTTTCTTTTCTTTGAAAAAAAAATTAGTTAGAATTGAAGAATAATAAATAAAATAATGATCAGAGAAAAACTAGTGGATGGGCTTCCATAGAATGACCCACTTTGGAGAAGGGGTCAAATCCGAAGTCGGGTGGGTTGTGTTATGTTACGCTTCATGATTGATAGGTAGGATGTGTGCTTAAGGACCCATTTGCTGCAATGGGCAAACGAAACAGGTTTGGGCTTCCATTCTGTATTTAATTAGATTTCTATCCAGTGGAAGCATTTTTTCACCATCGGATTTGAGACGGATTCTCGGTTAATCAAACAGGCATGCTCCAACTTCTTCTCTAACCATTTTTTACCTTCATGCCTAATTAATAACATGTATTTCCAACTTTCACTCCATTAATAACATTAGTCATTAATCCAATAATACCTTTAGAAAACCTATAAAAGAAAGGTTATAAATGCTTAGCATCAAGATTTTTCAACTACGCTTTAAAAAAAAACAGAGAGAGAGAGAGAGGAACGTTTCTTTTGTATCTAATTTATTGCCTTATTCATTTGTTCATTTTAAAAAAATTTAACCAATCCTTTTTTTTAATCATATTTATTTTTCTCTACCTAAATTAAATTTAATTTTGAAGATAATAATTGTTAGAAATAACAGAAAATATCGATCCTTTTTGCATCTAAAAATCTGACTCTTTTTTTTCTTTTTTTATTTAAATTGACTTGGTTCAAAAGAATCTCGGTGGAAAAGGTTTTCTAATTTACTCTCCAACATATATAGATCTCCCACGCAGGAAACTCTTCTTAGTTTCTTTTCTTTTCTTTTTCTTTTTCTTTTTTCATATTGTGAGTTATTTTTCGAAGTTGTTTTGAATACAACATGTTTTCTTTTCTTTTCTTTTTACTTTTTTTTTTATGCTTGATGTTTTGTTGTGTCACTGTCTAGTTAATTTACCCATCTTCCAATCTTGGTGAGTGATATTATTTTTTTAATTATTATTTTGGCTTATTGTACTAAAAAATCATAAATTTTATATTTTTTAATCATATTAACAAGTTCTTTTAATATTGAACGGAAAAGACATAAACTAAATTTTTGATAACCATATTAGCAGATGTGAATTTTTTCGACTTAAATTCCATTTTCGAGTTGACATGATGGGTGAGATAAGATGACAACTTAGCATAAATGTCATATAGAATTACATGTAGGACTCACATGACCTATTTGAAAATTTTACTCCCCAAAATGTTGATGATGATGAGTTGCAAGTTAGTATGATAGTGGCGCTTTTTAGGTGGTGTGGCTATTTGGCAAAGAGGGGCTAACGGTAGTGGTGGTTTTCGAGGTGGTGTGGTTATTAGGAGGTGGTTCTTCTCAATGGAAAGAGAATTGATGAGACCGGGTTTTGATGGTGAGTCCGATTTTGATTGAGAAGAAGGTCGTTGTTTAGTGGCAATAGAGAATAGTAGAGATGAGGGTTAGTATGGCGATGGAGAATGACGGATCGATAAGAGATATGAGATGGTAGCTAGAAAAGATGAGATCGGGACGGTGGGCTTGTGACATGTTGAGGATGATAGTTGTTAGGGCTAGTTTCAACCAAGAGAGAGAAAGGTCAATTGTTGAATTGAGAGAGTTTGACGGCTTAATGGAGGATGGAACTACGATAGTGGGCGGGTGGTAAGTGATAAATAGCGACTAAAAGGGTTGCGGTGATGGTGAGAGTTTTGAGTGAGCAAGATGATCGTTAGACAATGGTAGAGGGTCGTGGGAGGTCGGGTCGTCAAGGCTAGCTAAAGGTTGGCAACAAAGAGTGGCAACGGGAGTCGAAATGAGAGCCCAAAGTTGCAAGGCAAGGGTTTATTAAGTGACAACAATAGGATGGAGAGGAAAAATGATGGTTGTAAGCTAAGGCTTTAGTGAGGAAAATGGCCGCCAATTATGGCCGATAGAGAAAGTGTGGCAAAGGGTGGTTGGAGGATTTTTGATGAAAGGGAGAACATTTTGGGAGTAAATTTATCAAATAGGTCACGTGGATTCTTACTTGGTATTTATGTCATACTCGTCATCCTATTTCTCACGCCATATCAGTCGAAAACAAAATTAACCGAAAGTATTTATGTGTACTAATATGATTACTTGAAATTTAATTCATGTCTTTTCTATCCAATATTGAAAAAACGTTTTAATATGATTAAAAAGTATAACTTGATTGTTTAGTATAATAAACCTTTTTTTTTTTAGATTTAGTGTTTTTTTTAATCTATTATTGAATTAATCTTATGAGTTTTTATATGATTTCTTCTTGGTCTTCTTCAATTATTGCATTTCTAAATTTTGAAAAATTTACACTATTGTTTCTTTTTTTTCAACAAATTTTCCCAATTATGCCAACATGATTGTGAGAGATTTTAATCGGTGGCTTACGCTTTTCTTTTTAAGATTCTTTATATCATGTTTATGTCTTTCTTTTTTTCCACATATAAACGACTAAAATAAAAAAAAACATTGTAAAAAATACAAATCAGCAATAAGCATGTATTAGTTCCAACATATGTACAATTTAGGATTATTTTTTTTCGCATTCTTAGGGTGGATAATTTGTAATTAGTGTGAGCATCCAATTAATTGAGGTATTGTTTGGCAATAATAAATAGAATGGTAGGAATAGAAATAGAAATTTTATTTATATTCGTAAGTGTTTGGTTAAAAAGAATGAAATGAAAATAAAAATTTAGAGTGAAATTAAAAATTAAAATTATATATAATTTCTTTTTATAGAGTGAGGTGAGAATAGAAACAAAGAATGAGAACGAGAATAGAAGTTTTATTCCCACTTTATAACTATTTTGCTTAAATGAGAGAAGTGAAAATAGAAATATAGAGTGAATTTAAAAATATAAATTATACATTTTTTTAGGTGGGAATAAATAATGAGATTTCTTCCTTTCCAAATAGTGATATATTATTTTTATTTATTATATATCAATTTTTTTACTACCATCACATCTAACACCACCACAATTGTCCGTGTCAATAAAATAATTTTTTTAAATAAATCATTACTATTATTAGTTCATAACCACTCCTCTTTTACCGAGCACCTCCACTTTTCTTATACCACAATCACCATTACTCTTTTTTCAATGTCACCTTCGTGGTCGTGGTATTAATTTTTTAAAAATATATTATTACCATTACTATAACCATTCCCTCGCTCCACCACCACTACCACAATCATCTTTATCATTTTCACCGTCATGATAAATGACGAAATTATTATTTTAATCATTTTATTTATTTATCTTAAAAATCGGATGTTAAAAATCTTAAATTTCATTCGATTTTTTATTAATATTTAAAACACAATATTTGAATGAAAATAACATTTTAATTTTCTAATTTTCTTTTCAATTTTCGCATTTTTATTCTAAACATTTTTCACTAGGTAAACAAATGACACATGAATGTCTTCAAATTTTGATTTAGATAAAAGAAATGCTCAATTAATAATATTAGTTTTATTAATTTCATTTTTTTCAATCTTCTTATTATTTTGTTTGGATGAGCATTAAATAGCCTAATAAAGAACGTAATCATATTTGATGTCCTTAAGTTCACCACTAAAAGGGTTGGTTGGATAAATGTACTTTAGAAATAAATTTTATTATGTCCATAGAAGTTTAGGAGTTTTTTTTAAAAAAAAAACAAACAAACAAACTTGTGTTGATGCTAAGAACTATTGTAGGTTTAGTGGGTGTTTAGAGTTTAAGAAGCATTACAAGTGGATGATTGATGTCTTTTTATTATATTTACATCAAACATAGCATTCACTTTCTCATATCTATACAACCTTTGTAAGTTACAAATACAAAATAAAATTTTTAGATTGTGCGTCATTTTATGTGTTCCAAAAAAATTTATGTAATTTAAGTCATGATTCTATATATATATATATATATATATTTGTCTACAATCATATGCATATTCAATTTCTTTTCAACTTGAAATTCTACTTAATTCCATGAAGTGCAGCCTCTAATACAATCCTTCTTTTCAACTTGGAATTCTACTTAATGCCATGAAGAGGAG